GGTGGATGCTGATGCTTCAGATAGACCTATGTACTTGATTTTCCCCTCCTCAACTAGTTTCTTTAGTTCTCCCATCTGATGTAGCGTAGAACCATATAAGAGGACAAAGCAATAGATTTTGAACTGGTTAAAATCATAGCAGCAATTACTGTTTTCTATCAAGATAAAAAAAGCAATTACTGTGTTCTAAAATTAAATTGAACATGCTGCATATTAGTTCTAGCAAATTATTGTGAGCATGCGGTATACCATTCAGGTGCACATCATTCTACCAAACCATATAGAAAAGGTTTGTGATCGGTGGCTCAGTTATCGTGCTAGTGGTCCCTTTATAAGCAGATTTTCAATAGTATTATTGGCAAACTATTTGCTGCAATAGTATTTGTATGCAATAGTATTTGTATAAAAATTAAGGACTTGATACAATGGGGTTGGGGCATAAAATAATGGGTATGTTAGTATAAAAATTATGAAACACGACATCTATCTAATAGTTAGTTTTTCACAATTGCTACTGCTAACTCCTACTCTTAAGGAGTATTGCTAAACTGCCTAAACATGCTTAAAATTTACCAGTAGCTTTCATACAAGGACAGCTTGAAATTTAAGCGACTATCACACCCCATCCAGTGACCATGTGGTAGGTGTCATTTTGGCAATTGGCATAACACTTCAATAATGAGAGTTCAAGAACAAAGTGCTCCAATTTCTCTTATATAGTGGTATTTGACACACCACCTTTTCCCTAAGATTTATGATAGCTTAACTGCTTAACACCTCAAAATGACAGTTTCAGAATAAAGTGCTTAGTTGTATTTAATACACCACCATCCCATTCCCAATTTTCCATACTATGATTATGATGATAGTTTTACTGGTGTATTGAAGAGTGTGTGCTCAATTGTGATGTGACAACATTTTAAAAGAAGAGACAAAGGCTTCATTTTCCCAATCTCTCCATAAACCTAATCCCTTAGTCCCTTACCCAATAATAGACAAGACATAGAACAAACATGAATATTTCGTAATTAAATGAGACATGTTAGAGAATCATAAGCAATAATGAATACTAATAGAGATAACTGATGGAGCAAATGGACGAACCGTGACTTCAATCGGAGTGTTAGTATCAATACGATGTTGATAATAGAGATCGATGCAATCGATATCAAGCCGCTTCAAGCTTCCCTCACAGGCAGCCCTTACATATGCAGGATCACCGCGAATTTCTCCTTTTCCATCCACATATCTAATGCCAAATTTTGAAGCCAATTCCACTTTCTCTCTCCATCCTTCTTTCAATGCCTGCCCAATTTACAAGATCAAAACCCAAAAACGGCCAATTCAATCATACGCTATCAAACCCCAAAATTGCATCATCAATATTCATCAATAAAGTCCCAATTTTAGTCAAATTATCAATGTGTTCAGAAATTCGCAATATTTCGAACAAAACATTATTATATATTATCCAATTAACAAACCAATTAACCATTTCCAATTTTACAAACATTAGTCAAAACCCCAGAATCCCAGATCAGAACATCATCATAAGAATATCAGAAATCAAGAACACGCCTAAATACCCTAAAAATGGAACAAATACCCATCAAAATTAAGACCAAAATAAACAACCAAAGCTCAAATTATGCCATAAATAGAAAAGGGTATTGATTAAATTACCTTCCCAAGAAGAACTTCATTGGTATGAGGTCCATAAATGTCAGAAGTATCAAGGAAAGTGATGCCAGAGTTAATAGCATGATGAATAAGCTTGATCATATCTTCTTCTGGTTTAGGTGGTCCATAAAAAGCAGACATACCCATACATCCTAGACCTTGAGCAGAAACTTCTAGACCTTGTGATCCCAGCTTCATTCTCCTAACACCATTTGATTCTGCCATTGTATGAAACCTCTCTGTTTTCCTCTGTGTTTTTTGGGGTTTATAGTTTCTTCTCTTTTGTGAGAGTTGGTGAGAGAAGAGAGAATAATGAGTGATTTGAGTGTGTTGAGTGTGGGGAGTATTTGTAGTGATAGATAAGTTGACTTTTTGATGAAGAGATTTGCGTAATTGATGAAGTCATGGTGTATGTGTAATTGGGATTTTTAACCTCACTAAGCCAGAACCTCACTAAGCCGGTTAACGTGGCGTGTCATATCTAGTCATGTCCGAGAACTTTATTCATGTTGACTTTATGCTATAATTTTAATTGTTGGTAGCATTAATAACGGAAGATATGTAAATAAACATTTTTAAGGACTTAATCGTCTCACAATATTCATAAAGAGTTTAGTCATACTTTTTAAAAGGTAGAGAAATACGTAGTACTAAATTAATTATAGTACTTGTATCACATCGTTATGTAGTGTAATCCATGAAGTCACCATTTTCTTAACCTTTGCTCCCTCCATTTTTAAATACTTGCTCCATTTTTACTTTTTGCACTTTTCATTTATCTTATTTTGACAAATATTTTTGATTTATACATAAGAAAAAATATAGTATTAAGCCCTAATATCGTACTTTAGCTAATGGGCCAATGTATGAGGCCTATTCTCTTCTCTTAGGTTGTATAAATACCTTGTGCATAAGAAAATTATTCTCTATCTTATGGGTACTTACTGGAACCGTCTCAATAAATAGATTATTAACTTTCAATTGTTAGAATTTATACTTATTAATAATTAAAAATCTAATTGATTAAAGATTTGCATCGATATACGTGTCTTAGAGAAATGAAACAAGTATTTAAAAACAGAGAGAATACAATTTACTTCACAAAAAAAAATTACAATTTGTATAAAAATTACGACAAAAGAGGTAAAGTATACAATGGTAGGTGGTATAAAAAAATATTACTTGTACTTTTTGAAAACAAAATATTACTTGTATGAGTAGTAAGAATAATGAGTGAAAGAAAGAATGAACATAGTGGGGGTAAGAGAGGTAATGATGAAAAAAAAAAAGTGGATTAAAAATGAAGTAAGAACTAAGAACATAATGAAACAGAGTAATATGATATACTCCTTAATAAATATAAGTACAATATTTACACTAACTCATAATATTAGGTAAAATTTAAATCTCAACAACACTAATATGACTGAAGGTAGTCAAAATAACACTATCTTTTACAATGGGTGTAACAGATGTCATAAATGACATCGATGACTCTAAATATAGACATAGTTGGTAGGGGAGGTTTACTATGTCATTTTTCAAAAAATGACACCATAACATGATGATGTGTCATGTTATAATTGGTCAATTTTTTATTTATTTTTAAAAGCCTAAATGTACTATACATGTATGTATCATTGTAAATACATGTATTTTTTTAAAAAGAATATGTAATTATAGTTTTTTAAAATCTATTTTTTTTTCTTTTTAAAATCATTTTCGAAATTAAATTATAATTAAAATTTAGAAAATAAAAATAAAATAAAATAAAATCATCATTGTTCATCATTTATGATCTTAATTAATAACCACCCCAAAATCTTGTATAATCAACTCGGAACTCAGACCAAAATTCCGTCCTAAGAACAGATTTATTAGGTTTCGAATATGCTTCCATGATCTGTATACAAATTTTGTTTTAGGGTTCGATTGATAATTTTGATTTATGTTAAAATCAAGTTGTTTAATAGTTTTGAGGATGAAAATAGCCTTAGGAGCGTGTATTATGATGATCTAAGACACAAACCTTTCAAGTGTTTTTAACGATCAATGGATAACGAGGGTGTGCTCTGCGATTTAGAGTTCGATTTTTTATTTTCGCAAACCTGTTTGATCTAGAATCGAGATCTGCGATTTATTTTAATTGTTTGTGGTTAGGTAATTACCTGTATTTAGTTAGGTAATTACTTGTATTTAGTTAGGTCATTACCTAACCCACAAACAAGTTCGAGAAAACTTAATTAAATTTATCGGATCAAACAGAGGTTGTGAACAAAAAATAAATGCGACCACTTCATCTTCTACAAACTTACCTTGTTACTCCTTGTTCTTTGACAAAATTGCACAATTTGAGTCCACATAAATCATATCTTCGAACCATTGGAAGTGGAATTCGTCCTTTGCTAATTTGAGTCCACATAGATTGTTGTTGAGATTTTTTTATGAACAAAAACCTAAAATCATTCGAATTTTTATCCTAATTTTAGTCTGGATTTACAAATTTATCAGCAACTAACATTAATTTTAGGAATGGGGGGCTAATCTATGACATGATTGATGAACAATATGAACAATTTTAATTTTTTTGATTTTTAATTATAATTATAAATTCAAAAATTAATTAATATTATAAAAATAGATTTTCATAATATATAATTATGTATTTCTTAAAAAAAATACATGTATCAAAAAGAATACATAAAAATACCATTTTAATACATTATGGACATTAAAAATTATGCAAAATAAAAATAAAAATACTAAATACAGGCCAACCAGATTTCGCCACATTAGCAAATTGTGGTGTCATTTTTAAAGAATGATATTGTAGAATTTTTCATAATTGGTGTCATTATGGCTACTAAAAATAAACATTTATGACAAATGTTCCATCAACTGCAAAAGTTGGTGCTATCTTAACGACTCATTTGCACTGTTATCGTTTATATGCTAACAAATTTATTTAATTTCATTGACAAAAGCTTGTGTTGTTCATTTCAAAGCTTATTTGACATTTTGATATTAAGTAATTAGTTTTTAATGTTCTAATTGAATATTATTCATGATCTTAATTTAAATTATTTAGCTTATCATTGAAATTAAATATTCTAGAATTAAACAGTTCACTTCAAAGTTATAGCTCTGTATTTAAAGTATGGATTTGATTCTTACACTCTTACATTTGATTTTGATATATTCAGTATTCATATTGTCGAAAGCACAAAGGTTATCTCTGAGAATTTGTTGTTTTTATATTTCACTAGATTAACACATAAACAAGTCATTCATGAAATATACAAAAACTATAAACTATGGGATGAAACAAGATAAAATTTATCTTCGAGATGGATTGAAAGATCAAAATAAAGCTCGCCTAATTAAGTTCAAAGAACATGAAAACGGAAAAGGTAATATTGTCTTAACTTTTATTTACACTCTTAGTTGGAATTAAAACTAAGAAAAATAAAAAATTCATCACTCTCAAGTCTCAATTCAAGCAAAATGAGCACCTAAGCACAGGATGTTCCATCTTTTTTTAGTTCTCCAATTTCCATGAGGATAAAGGTGGAGTATCACAGGTGTTCCAAGTAGCCATTCCAGTTTCATATCGATCACCCTTAACACTATCCTCAGAGGCAAGGTGCTCTAGCTCAATCATATCCTCGGGTGTTAGTTTCACTGATAGCGCGCCAATGTTCTGTTTCAGGTTCTCAATCTTAGTGGTTCCCGGGATTGGACACACATCGTCTCCTTGGTGATGGACCCAAGCCAGTGCTAGTTGTGCAGGGGTACATCCTTTTTTGGTCGCAATTTCAGTAACCCGATCAAAGATATGCTTGTTATGCTCAAGATTTTCAGGATGGAATCTTGGAAATAACTGAAAGAAATGATAAATAAGCAGATCAGCATGTAGTCACATCCTAACAGGCTAGTTGATATACCAAAACTGATACATACCTAAACACTACGCGATACAGGAGAAGAATAATAAACATGCTGCAGGACTATTATCTATGCAAAGTTATACATCTAACAGGCTTAATACAGTTACATTTTACATGGAAAATTCATTTGATGTTAGAAGTTAGAACGATTATTCACAAGTTGGTCACATGAAATTATGCGTTCATATATACCTGCTGCCAGTAATCCTTATTTTTTGAAAGGTTATCTACCATCTTAGGCCCTGAAGAGAGAAAGCCCCTTCCTAGAGGACTGTATGATACAATTCCGATCCCAAGTTCCCTAAGTTAATGTAACAACAATGTTAGAACACTCAAATTTTTAAGAATGTTACTATCTGAAAAGTCTCGTGGTCTCACCTGCAGGTAGGAACTATTTCTTCCTCCACATCTCTGCTCCAAAGCGACCATTCCAACTGAACTGCTGTAATCGGGTGGACTGCATGCGCTCTTCTGATAGTCGAAGCAGATGCCTCAGATAAACCAATGTATTTGATTTTGCCCTCTTCAACCAATTTCTTTAGCTCTCTCATCTGAAATTATATGTGACAAAAACATAAGAAAAACAAATTAGCTCTTGTTTAACCAAGTGATCACATCAATATACATCAATTAAGTTCGGATAAGGTATGGCCTAATGGCCTATATATGTTTAACCTCGAAAACTATGTATGCCTTATAGTATGAAAGGGAGGAGATTGAGTATCTAATATAAATGAAGTAACTAACCGTGATTTCAATGGGAACATTGGTATCAACACGGTGTTGATAATAGAGATCAATACAATCAACATCAAGCCGCTTCAAGCTTCCTTCACAGGCAGCCCTTACATATGCAGGATCACCCCGAATCTCCATGTCTGCACCAACAGCGCTGTTGATGCCAAATTTTGTGGCCAATTCCACTTTTTCTCTCCATTCTCCTTTTAGTGCCTGCTCAATCAATACACTATATTAAGCTAACACAAACTCTCATTTTATGTTTAATAAATTAAATAAGTATATCATATAAAAAACAAGTACTTATGCAACTACGTACGAGTACATACCTTGCCTAGGAGAATCTCGTTGGTATGAGGTCCATACGTATCAGAAGTATCAAGGAAGGTGATGCCAGAGTTGATAGCATGGTGGATAACTTCAATCATGTCTTCATCGGAGTTTCGAGGTCTAAAATAAAAACACATTCCCAAACATCCTAGACCTTGTGCTGAAACTTCCAAACCCTGAGAACCTAACTTTATCCTCCTAACTACACCTTCCATTTCTTATTGTTTTTCGAGTTTGAATTTCTTGTTTTAATTCTAGAAAGGGTTAATCCACGATATTTATAAAATTCATCAATTAGTAGGTGGTTGTAAAAATATACAAGAACACATCTAGGGAAAGTTGTGCGTAATACATGATGTCATTGAAATAATTAATTATAATGTAAGGAAAAAAAGAAGACAATAACAATTAATTAATTAACTTTACAATGTAATCAATTTACCATGGTTGAGATGTCAAATTTGGTGATTTAATTTGGTATATACAAGTATATTTTCACCTATAGTAAGCAAAAGTTAATTTATTCGTTGAAATGGTCAGTCAAACATGTACAAAGAAGCTTGAAAGGAGAATGATTAGTTGATAATAATAAATTAATTAACAGAAAAAAGTATCACTAAAAAATCAGACAATCTTAGTTTTTTTTTTTTTTTTGGAAGGGAGACAATCTTAGTATAGCAGCAACTATGATTCATGAAAATGTAAAGTTAAGGATAAAAGAACAAAATACATGTTCATTGGACTAAATGGACACACCGTGACTTCAATGGGAAGTGGGAACGGTGCTGATAATTGTCAATCAAACATGGAGTGAACTACAAACCTAGTACTAAACTATCAAACTTGTTGCAAATGAGGTACTCACCTTTCAAAAGTAGCAAAATGGGTACTAAACTATAGCAGAGTATATGTCGAAAAGAATATTTCGGCCACTTTACCTGTTATAACCGGTTTAATTAGCCAAAAAATAAAATAAAATTATATAAAATAAATCAAAATGCAAAATGCAAAATGCAAAAAACAAAAAACAAAAAAAAAAAATCAGTAAACCTAGTAAAAATTTCAAATTAATGGACCTGTAAGCCGCCGAATTTGAAGATCTATTCAATTGTTGATTAATTGAGGTGATAAGTTGAAGAGCCAGAAAAAAAAAAAAGAAAAAAAAACGAATTAAAGCCGAAAGAGGAGATGGAAAAGAGAAGGAAGTGGGCTGAGAATTAGAAATTCTTTTTGCAATGATTCGCTGAGATGATGGCGAATTTCAATGGTGGTTGAGGAACGACATACGTGGGAGTACAAAGTTTAGTACCCTAACTACAACAAGTGAAAGGTGAATGCGCAATCTGCAACAAATGGGATAGTTTAGTACCCACATTTGTAATTCACTCGTCTGTAGGGTTGTATAGAGTGCGATTTAGACCGCATTAAACCGCAAACCAAAACTTTGGTGCGGTTTGCGGTTTGAAAATTACAATGCGGTTTTTGAAAATGACCAAACTACGGTTTGCGATTTAGTGCGGTTTCAAAAAAATTTAGACCTAACTGTACCGCAAACCGCACTTTAATGCGATTTGCGGTCTTTATACCATAATTTTATTAAAAAAAAATAAAAGAACTAAAATATATGAGCTAATCTTTGACTATTAGTTAATTACAGGTTAAAATAAGAGTTTAATATTTGAATTATAAATTAATAATTACAAAATAAAATAAAAGTTTTGTTTTAAAAAATACTATTTAAAAAAGTATGGTTAAACCGCAAATCGCACTGCACCAAATCGCATTTTGCGGTGCGGTTTGGTGCGATTTGAAAAAAATTACAAACCGCAATGTTGCGGTTTGGTGCGATTTAGAATCCATACCGCACTAAGCAGCACTGCAAACACCCCTACAAACATGTAAAAAAAGCTTGAGAGAAGAATGATTAGTTGATACGAGTAATAAATTAATTAACAAAAAAAATTATCAATCATTAATAATATATTCTTGAACATACTTGTATAAAGTAATCAGTTATTGCAATTCAAAGAAAAATGTCCCCTGCATTGAAAATTTGATACATCTCACTAGGTTTGGACTAAGGAGTATCAATATATTATAGCATAGAACTAGTTTTATAATTTTATATTTATCAGTCAGTCTTAGTATAAAATAAAAACAAAATAAATGTTCAGTAGCAGAATAATAAATCAACCAGTGAAATTTTCCTGAAAATCAATTACTCTTTGTTAAGGTCACAACTTAAAAGAGTTGGCGTGGGTTACCAGTTTACCACATATATACCATCTCTTAGGTAACATATTTTTTAAAACAAAAGATTCAATAATTTTAATAAATAATCGTATTATCAACTGACTAACATATTTGTCATTTATATATTCTAACTCGCTTACAAATATCGCTCTTAACATTACACAAATTCGATACACAATTGTGTAAAATAAAATCGGCACACAACACATTAAAAAGGAATTTAATTAAAACCAAAGCAACACTCTGAAGTCTCAATCAATCCAAGCACAATATGCACCATCTTCAATTTTTTCAGTTTTCCAATTTCCATGAAGACAAAGGTGGAGTATCATACGTCTTCCAAGTAGCAATCCCAGCTACATATCGATCACCCTTAACACTATCCTCAGAGGCAAGGTGTTCGAGCTCAGCCATATCCTCAGGGCTTAGCTTCACAGACAACGCGCCAATGTTCTGTTTGAGGTTCTCAATCTTAGTGGTTCCGGGGATTGGACACACATCATCTCCCTGGTGATGAATCCAAGCAAGTGCTAGTTGTGCAGGGGTACATCCTTTTTTCGCCGCCATATCAGTAACCCGTTCAAAGATGTGTTTGTTATGCTCAAGATTTTCTGGGTGGAATCTTGGATATAACTGAAACAGAGGATATAATAAAACAGATCAACGTACAAACTGATATACTGCTAAATATTACGCGATACAGGAGAAGAGCAAATGTGCTGCAGGTCTGCAGGACTATCTTGTGCAAAATTGCATCTAACAGACATAATAAAATTACATTTTAGATGGAAATTCATATGAAGTTAGAACGACTAATGAAATTAACATGGAATTACGCGATCATACCTGCAGCCGGGAGTCCTCCTTCGAAAGGCTATCAACCATATTAGGCCCTGAAGAGAGAAAGCCTCTTCCTAGAGGACTGAAACATACAATTCCAATCCCAAGTTCTCTATATAGTAATGTTAAGATTAAGTTAGATTTCAAAATATTAAGGGCATTTCATTTTTTAAGGGAAAATTATGACAAATTCTCACCTGCAAGTAGGAATAATTTCTTCTTCCACATCTCTAGTCCACAATGACCATTCCAGCTGAATTGCTGTAATCGGGTGGACTGCATGCGCTCTTCTGATAGTCGAAGCAGTTACCTCAGACAAACCGATGTACTTAATTTTACCTTCTTCAACTAACTTTTTTAGTTCTCCCATCTGAAATTATTTATGAAGAAATGATAAGAAAGTAAAATACCTTTTACAATGATCGAGTTAGTATACATGAACACATCAACCTCGAAAATTATGTGTACATATAGGCCTCATATTATGAAATGCTAACATAGCACGTAGTGCAATTGAACTAACCGTGATTTCAATAGGAACACTGGTATCAACACGATGTTGATAATAGAGGTCGATACAATCAACACCAAGCCGCTTCAAGCTTCCTTCACAGGCAGCCCTTACATATGCGGGATCACCTCGAACTTCTATCTTTGTATGAATTGGATCACCAACGTTGTTAAGGCCAAATTTCGTAGCCAATTCCACTTTTTCTCTCCATTCTTCTTTTAATGCCTGCTCAATCCACAAGATTATTTAAGGTAGTCTACAATCACATAATACAAGATTAATTTATGCCTACTAGTACTTACCTTGCCAAGGAGAATCTCATTTGTATGTGGTCCATACACGTCGGAAGTATCAAGGAAGGTAATGCCGGAGTTGATAGCATGGTGGATAACTTCAATCATTTCTTCCTCGGGCTTTGGAGGTCCATAAAAAGCAGACATCCCCATACATCCTAGACCTTGAGCTGAAACTTCTAAACCTTGAGAACCTAACTTAATCTTCCTAACAACACCTGCCATTTCTTATGTTATTTTTTTGAGATTCTTAGATAAGTTATATATTACTTGTTTGATTTATTTCTTAGAGGGATTTATCGTGTTATTTATAGTGTAATAATAATGTACATAAAATCTAGGCAAAGTTGCTTGTGCGTAATAGATGAAGTCATGGAGATTTAAGATGATAATATAAAAAATTAGAAAAGAATAATGTAAGATATATAAAAAGCAGTCAATTGATTATCTTTACAATATTAAGATATAGTAGTATAATGTAAGACTAGCAAAAGTGATTTGTTCGAGGAGAATGATTCGTTCGTCGATAATTGTCTAACACAAAATATCATTAAGTATTGTTTCGGGTAAGATCGACATTGTGGACCTTAATCGATCCTTCGTCGAATGAGTTGAAGACACTACTGTTGAAAGTTCTTGATATAAAAATAAGAATGTTGAATGAAGGAACGAAAACAAGAGAAAGTGAGAGTCACAAATGAAAAGGGAAAAATTCCACATTGGTGGAGAGAAAGGTTTTCTCCTTATTTATATTGTACTATGTTGGTACTTCTTAATTGAGTGACTTGGAGGTGGGTGTTGTACCACACACACATGCGCGCGCGCTCCGTACTTGGGGAATGCGATGTGCGGGCATGGGTCTTTTTATTTTTGGAGGAATTTTATTTGGGAAATGCGATGCGCGGGCGTGGGTCCTTGATTACGGCTAAACCGTTACACTCATTGATTGTAGTTTTTGACTGACCAGGTGAATCTGGATAGTTTTTTTGGTCAGCCGTTTTGCTTGATTTTTGGCCTTAATCATATGGTCGTTTCTTCCTTTTTTCTTGTTGGTCGTTGCTGGCCATCTTCCTCCTTGCTGCCTATATAAACCCAGTCCCACTTCAGCAAAAGACACAGAAAACATTCCTCTCTCTTCTCTCTTAAAAATAACTAAACACTGTTCTTATATTTCTGGGCAAGTATTCTGAATTCCAATCGGGTTTGTGAGTGCACATAAACTCCGGCGCCGTGCTTATCCTGGAGGACGACCGCTTCTTGTCTACTGCACCAGGAGGTAGCGCGGAATCGTCTTTTAGGTCAGTGGTTCACCACGACAAGGCTACTGTTTTCTGGTTCACGCTTCAAGAAATAAGTTTACTGTTTTATTGCTTTTAGTATCATATCAGTTAACAACTACTTGGGCCATGAACTCGGACCAAGGATTTCCTGCAGAAGAAGAGCATGTAAACTAGCCTCAAAGGTGTCCGAGGATCTTCTCTCCGATGCCTAAGTCAGTACTAAATTACTTTAATGGAGAGAGTAATAGAGCTTGTGCAAGAAATAGTGCTTGAGGGCTGACGTTAATAAATTACTTCCTCCGTTAACAGTTATTTGTAACATTTGCCATAAACGGATGCTACCTATTATTTGCAACAAATGTTTTTTTTCCTCTTTTAGTAAGTTTTTTTGTATGAAATGACCAAACTACCCTCACTTAACCAACTTACTCCCTTGATCATTTTACTAACCATACTCTATTATAACCCTCTTAGCTCATCTAATCTTAAAAAAAATAAAAACAATAAAAAAAAAAAAAACCAGATCTTCAAAAAAAAAAATCAAATATCTCAACATTCATCTTGTTCATCAAATTTCTCTTTCCTCCTTCATCATCAAAATTTCACTCCTACTTCATCTTCCCCATCTTCTGTCCAGATCCGGAGGTAGTCTCCCGTGGGTTTCGTGGGTGTGGTGGTTGTGGGCGGCACGAGTTTCATGGATGGTGGTCTAGGTTTTGTGGGTTTCGAGGGTGGATCTAGGTGTCGATGGTTGTGGGTATGGGTTTAGGTCTAGGTTTTGTGGTGGTTGATTTCCAAGAGTGGTAGGTGGCGTGGTGTTGGGTTTCGTAGGGTAGTGGGTGGTGTGGTGTTCGGTTTCGTGGTGGTGGTGGTTTAATTGTAATTAATTCAATTCGTGGTGGTGGTGGTTTAATTGGGGCTTTCGGGGTTTTGGTGGTCACTAGTAGAAAAAACTAAATAGGCAACCCCCCTATGGCAGCGGTTCATGAAAACCGGTGCCAACTAAAATGAGCGCCAATTAAAATTTCAGAGTTGGCAACGGTTAACCGTTGCCAAATGATTATTTTTTTTTTAAAAGAAAAAAAAATAAAAGGGTTAGAGTTGGCACCGGTTAACCGTTGCCAACTGATTATTTAAAAAAAAAATTAAAAGGATTAGAGTTGGCA